ATAAACTAAAACATTATTTTAATATTAAAGCAGTTCAGATTTCTAGTCTTATTTTAAAATAATTAATTTGATAAAATTAAGGTAAAAATGGTAATCAACTGTTTTTGTACTATAGCCAATGTACAAAAATGAATACGCAGCTTCAGCAGCTATTTTTCTCAAAATTACCCTGAAACCTTCCAAATATTTAAGCTTGTGTTGAAATTTGAAAGAATGAAGCATATGTTGAGTTTATGTGGAACAGCAGGTTCAAAGACTCCGCAGGTTTTATCAGAGAAGGAGTAGGATTGGGTGGATACTTTCAACAGTCATTTAAAGAAGCTTTTTACTCCTTTTTGGTGCAGCAATCTAAATTAAAGCAATTGCACAAATGATCACCTCTTTGAGTAATTGATTATTCTGCCCAGGTGGGTGGATTTTTCCTAAATTGTCTGCTTCTAGGAATAAATCTAGCACAACTCCCCTTGTTAATGAAATCAAACATATTCATTACTCAATATAGAGATTATTTAGTTGAGATAATCAACTAAATATCCTTGAGACTAGCAAACCTTACCCATGCCATCATACCCTCTGCATGTTTTCATTAACTCTGGCATAACTTATATATCATTTATTAATGCCAGGAATATTTACTTCACTCAGGAGTTGGAGTCTTGTGGGTACCAGTAATGATGGAATCAGCCTGCATATGCATAGTTTTGTACAGCAATTTTCATTAAGGGTATAAGAAAACTAACATAATGGAAGCATAATTATTTTTTCTGTCATTATATTTACAAATGCAGAATCATTCAGATAATGATTCAACAAGTGCAGGTAGATATTTAAAAAAACTGGACAGCCATATTTAGTTACTATTTCACTTTTGCATAAATGTCAGATATGGAATTTCCTCCTACGCTTTCATTTTCTTTCATTGGATTCTATAGAACAAAGAATATAATACTATTTTTCTGTGCCTATTAGGCATTGACAAATAGACACTTTCTATTTTTCTATACCTATTAGACACTTTCGTTAGCGCTTTCAACTGTTTGATATGACATTTCAGTTAAATTCATTGCTTTACAGTTCATCGTTCAAGAGCTGAAAAATTGTAATTATACAGCAGCTGAGCTTGGTGCAAGCTACTTAAATGCACTACTCTTAGCCCTAACCTTCTTGTGGCATTTCCAGCATTTTATATGAACTGACTAAAGCTTTTTTATTTCCATTCACCATTCATTATTAACCTGCTCTGCTCCCTCCCTCTTCATGGATTTTAAACCCTTGTCATATTCCTGCCCTTACATTTGTTCAGGATCACAGTCTGCTAATCCACAGTCTGGTGGTAAGGTTTTTTTAGATTTTGTGTGGGCATTCTTGTTTGGCCATCTATTGCAGGACCCTATTCAGCAGAAACATTGTGTATTTGGGTATACAAGAAATATGTTTCAGGCCCCAAAATAGTGATCATATATGAAAAATCAAAAGTGTATTGAGAATAGCTCAATAGGAGGGATTAGGGACACATTTGTGATGCTGTAAATTTTTTTACAGTTATTCTAATCAAGGAAAATAATATTGTCATATATTTCAATCAAACATACTTTATTTGTGAAGATTCAGTTTATGATCTACATGGTGTTCTCACAATACTTCAAGTAAACAATTTGAAATAAATAGTATTTTTAAAAGTAAATACTGTATTTTTCGGATTATAAGACACACCCTTTTCCCTCAAAAAAGAGGGTGAAAATCTGGGTACATTTTATACACTGAATACAGCATTTTTGCCTCCCGAAACCCTGCCCCCTTTGCAAAAATGACCGTGCATAGCCTTTAGGAGGCATTCAGAGTGCTCCTGGGGCTGGGGAGGGCAGAAATGAGCGAAAAACAGGCTGTTTTTTGCTCAGTTTTGCCGCCCACCCAGCCCCCAGGAACATTCTACAAGCCTCCTAAAGGGTATGCATGCCCTTTTTTTTTTTGACAAAAACCGGGCCCAATTTTGCAAAAACCGGGCCGTTTTGGGGAGATATGCAGAGTGCAAAACCTTTTTTTTTTTAATTTGCTTCAAAATCTTGGTGTGTCCTATGTTCTGAAAAATATGGTAGTGCACAATTGCAGCCTTGGTAAAAAAAATGTTCCATATGTATTTGAAAAGACAAAAAATCAGATTTGATCAATTTTCAGTTGCTTTTCACAACCCTCATTATCCTGTGTGTTTAGAAATAATACTGTGATTTGATGAATGGTAATCTAAGAAAATAGGAATAGGTTTGCATTCTCCAAATTATCTGAATGTTGTCCTAATTCCCTGATCAGTTTTAATGCATTTTAAAAGTATATATTCTTATGTCTGGTTTGATATATATCATTTTTCTGCTGCATAGATTCCTACATAAAAGAGCATATATTATTTCCCAAACTTCTGAAAACTATATTCCTGTTTCTGAAACAAAAAATAGAAAAATCTCAATGGTTTTATAGACAGCAAGGGTTATACCCATTTAGCAGTGACGTGCGGTGAGGTTTATGGCTGGTGAGGCACTGACACAGTGGTGGGTTTCAAATTTTTTTAGACTTGTGGACTTCAACTCCCAGAATTCCACAGAAAGGCATGCTCAGTTCCGATTTAAAGTGACAGCATTTGTTTTTCTCCTTTGCAAAAAGGTTCCCTTCATTCTTTTTCTTCTCCCTCCCCCTACTTCCTTCCTCTCTCCCTCCCTCCCTCCCTCTTAAACAGACACACGCACACAGAGAAGTTGGATTGGACGATCTCTCCTACCCCGTGTGTGTGTGTGTGTGTGTGTGTGTGTGTGTGTGTTTTGAAAAAGCAACATGACTCTGCCTGCAATCAAACTACACTTGGGGAGGGATCTACACTTGAGGATGAAGTTTGAATTCCTCCCCCTCCCTCCGACCCACACGTACCTTTTCCAGCTCTTTCAGAGAGGATTTCAAGTCTGCTCTTGCCTGTCATCATGAAAAGAAAAACAATGCAAAAGGAAAAAGGCAAGAGCAGAGGTCAGGCTGAGCTAGTTGCTGCCAGAGTCACCGTGAATGATTCTGCTTAACTGTTTAAAAAAGCCTCTAAAAGCACCCTCTACAGGAGGAGGCAGGAAAATGACATGCCTCACTACGTCAGGAATTTTTAAGTTTTTAACCCTTGCTTAACTCTGCTCGAGTGATCATAAAACACCTAGTCAGACTAGATGAGGCACGTCATTCTCCTGCTTCCTCCTGTAGAGGGCGCTTTTTTAGAGGCTTTTTTAAACAGTTAAGCAGAGTCATTCACGGTGATTCTGGCAGCAACTAGCTGAGCCTGACCTCAGCTCTTGCCTTTTTCCTTTTACATTTTTTTTTCTTTTCATGATGACAGTGGTGAGGCTCTGCCTCCCCTGACTGCACGTCCCTGCTATTTAGTGAGGCAATAGGGCTGATTATATGTACTTATTTTGTCTCAGAAAGACTGTTGTGTCCATTTGGTTCAATTCAGTTAGGATTTATCTGTCTTGTTGGATCTGCTTGGATCTGCTTTGTTTTATACTAAAACTTTCAGGACTACCAAATGAACCCTGGTGCAAAAAAACATTTCTCATTTATTTAGAAATATTTTAAATGTAGCAGACTAATTTTTACAAATAAGTTAATTATGTTGATACTTTACAATTTTTGTTGATCTACTGCAAAATTCCAAATGTTTACTAGTAGATTCAAAATTACACTCTGATTGCTATTTTCATAGCAACATTAGAGACATGTTGAATTTCATAAAACATATAAACATGAAAATGTGTACAGTTTGGGAAATGCTGTTGTATTATCACTGCAAAAATAATGATTACATAACATTTGCATGGAGCACTATCTTGCCTCATCATCTTTCATGGGGTTTATCCCCCCCCTTCCCTCCCTCCTTCCCTCATGCAGAGAGAGAGAGAGATTGGTGAAGTTTATATATGGACCGTCTTTAAATTGGTGAAGTCTTGATCGTATTCTACATATATTCCTAAAGATGGTATTTTAAAAGCTTTTCACAGGAACTAGGCTGATAAAAAGATATATTTCCTGTTTTTTTAATCAGAGGGTTTGCTTGCTGCTAGATCTGCATTTATATTCGCAGTCAATGTTCTGCTGCAATGCCTGCTCAAGTCACGGTGAATCTTTAGGAAGATATGTATTCAGGATTACTGCTTCATTTCCAAATTACCAGAGTTAAACATTCTTCAAATTGCTCATAAATCCCTACCTGAAAGCACATTCCATCTCAAGCTTGTTCTTAGATGTCTTTTTAAATTTTCTATCAAGTTGCTTACAAATTATGTTCATGAAGTTGCTTTTATTTAATTTTACGATTATGCTGAAAAGACAAGGCCAATCTACCTAGAAGATTTTACAATATTGGAAACTTACAAGGATCCAAAAATAAAAATACAAAAATTACTATATTATAGTAGATTTTGTGAAATTATCGATTATTGCAAAGTTCTAATAAACAGCTATGGTAAAAGTAAATTCATAAATACACAAATATTTGTATACAACTCAAAGCATTAAATTTTCTAAACACATGTTTTCTTGTTAATCTACTTCACCTCACAGGAATTCGGAAGCTATTTACCAATTTCACCAGTTTCAGAACTGATTGAATAGTGGTGAAATTATATTCAAAAGTGGAATATGAGGAAAGTAATGGCACCCAATAAGTCTTGTAAATTATGTTAGATCTGTTTTGTTTCAAATGTATTAGAGTCCTGAAAATAGTAGCTGGTAATGATATTTATACTGGTAAGATTTTCCTAATACTTCTGGGGATAAAAGAAAATTAGAATCATTTAATTTTATGTTAAAATGCAAAACAACTAAATGCATTTTTGGACATAAATTGACAATACCTGCTGACTAGATGTCAAATAATATACTTTTCTAGGTTATAAAAAATTTCTTCAAAGTCTTCTAGGAAATTTAAACTTGTTCTACATAATAGAATTGTAAAACATTTTCTTTGCCTTCAGCTGGAAGCCGTTCTGGTTCTCCTGGAAGAGTTTTGACTACAACTACACTTTCAACTATGAATACAGGTATTCAGAGAATGCTAGTCAGCTCTGCAACAGCACAAAAACGGAGCAAGATTCCTCGAAGCCAAGGATGCAGCAGAGAAGCAAGTCCTTCAAGATTGTCTGTTGGTAAGATTTGTTCATTATAGCTAGCAGAGATTACACTATTTATGTCACACGTAACGACTGAAAATAGGAAAGACAAGCTATACCTCATCTCACAGAACTCTTGCAATATGCTACCAAAATAGTAATTTTCAGCATCAGAATACTTCACACTAAGGCCTAAAATAAGTCTGCTAAGCACAAATTCTGTCATTTTCCTAAAATTTAGGCTAAGCATTTCAGCACCATCCAGGTAAAATGATCATGCCATCTCTAACACACATGTGCATGCACATGCACGCACAGACCATGGCCTTGCAACACAGCACTATCCTAGAATGACAGTCCTAGAATGAAAGAACACAAATTTCCTGAACATGTAACTAAAATGCTATTGATTCTGCCTTTTTAGTTTCTGAGATTAGTATTGCGTTGGGAGAAGAAAACATAAATTTTTACAGATATCACTCAGGTTTATTTTAAAGCATAAATCTGAATTGATAAACAAGTATATAGATATAGTAATATCAATTTTCCCTGAAGATAGTTATATGTTTAAAGTTGATTCATATATCATTCTAGCTATAACTAGTTTATCAAGTCAAGACATTTTTCTGGGATTGTCTCCTATATTCACTATAAGCAAATAGCCCCACTCCAGGAACCTTCCAGGCAGTCGCTTACACGACAAACCATTTTGTATTACATTTTTTCTGATAAATAAATGAAGGGAGACTAGTATAGATCTATTTCAAGTTATTTAGCTCTCATCAGCTAGCCATACCCTTACTGGGATTCGAATTTGGGCTGCTTACATATTAGGCAGTTGTATTAACCTGTAAGCTACAAGTTCTCCTCCTTTATCAGCTGAGCCAGGGAGTGATTAAGTGTTTTTTCTTCTGTCAAAACACCCAGGTGCTTATGGCTAGCTGATGAGAGCTAAATGGCTTGAAATATATCTATACTAGTCTTCCTTCATTTATTTATCAGCAAAAATGTGTGTGTGTGTGTGTGCACGCGCGCGTGCACGCACTGGTGTTGTATTCAGGTCTTTTCCCATGTAAGATTGAGATTGTCTTGGCAACGTTTCGGCGAGGTCCCACTCGCCATCTTCAGGCTGCTGTTTTCGGCTTCATAATTGTGTGAGTAAGGCGTGGTCGGAGTTGTCGTCTTTCTATAAATCTTGGTGTGTGTGTGTGGAGTGCTGGCTTTGTTGCTGTAAGTGGGTTGATTGGCTGTGCAGTTGCATCCTGATTGGTAGATGGATAAATATCAACTCCATCTACCAATCAGGATGCAACTACACAGCCAATCAATCCACTTACAGTAACAAAGGCAGCACTCCACACACACACACCAAGATTTATAGAAAGACGACAGCTCCGACCACGCCTACTCACACAAGCACGAAGCCGAAAACACCAGCCTGAAGATGGCGAGTGGGACCTCGCCGAAACGTTGCCAAGACAATCTCAATCTTACATGGGAAAAGACCTGAATACAACAAGACCAGCATACCTACACCCGTGAAAATCTATGAAAACATATGCTGGTCTTGTTGTATTTGGGTCTTTTCCCGTGTATGATTGAGATTGTCTTGGCAACATTTCGGTGAGGTTCCACTCGCCATCTTCAGGCTGGTGTTTTCGGCTTCGTGCTTGTGCGAGTAAGGCGTGGTCGGAGCTGTCGTCTTTCTATAAATCTTGGTGTGTGTGTGTGGAGTGCTGCCTTTGTTACTGTAAGTGGATTGATTGGCTGTGTAGTTGCATCCTGATTGA